AACTTTCACTGTATGTGGTTTTAGGGAATATAGTGTAGGTCATTTGGGATACAATACAGTAGACCCGTGTCACACAGTGTAGGTCTGTAGGGATACAATACAGTAGACCCGTGTCACACAGTGTAGGTCAGTAGGGATACAATACAGTAGATCAGTGTCACACAGTGTAGGTTAGTAGGGATACAATACAGTAGACCCGTGTCACACAGAGTACGTCAGTAGGGATACAATACAGTAGATCACTGTCACACAGTGTAGGTCAGTAGGGATACAATACAGTAGACCCGTGTCACACAGTGTAGGTCAGTAGGGATACAATACAGTAGACCCGTGTCACACAGAGTAGGTCAGTAGGGATACAATACAGTAGACCCGTGTCACACAGTGTAGGTCAGTAGGGATACAATACAGTAGACCCGTGTCACACAGTGTAGGTCAGTAGGGATACAATACAGTAGACCCGTGTCACACAGTGTAGGTCAGTAGGGATACAATACAGTAGACCCGTGTCACACAGAGTAGGTCAGTAGGGATACAATACAGTAGACCCGTGTCACACAGTGTAGGTCAGTAGGGATACAATACAGTAGACCCGTGTCACACAGTGTAGGTCAGTAGGGATACAATACAGTAGACCCGTGTCACACAGTGTAGGTCAGTAGGGATACAATACAGTAGACCCGTGTCACACAGTGTAGGTCAGTAGGGATACAATACAGTAGACCCGTGTCACACAGTGTAGGTCAGTAGGGATACAATACAGTAGATCAGTGTCACACAGTGTAGGTCAGTAGGGATACAATACAGAGGAGTGAAGCATATACTGTATGCATTAACTAGGTCTAACTGTTCTGCTAGAGGTGTGAAGCAGGAATATGTGACCATTAAGCTGAGGGAGAATAATTTCATGGACATTAAATAAAAGAAAGTTATGTGTAATGAGAATGTGTTGCTGTCATATGAAAATATGTTCCGTTTGATGTGAGACAAAGGTTTTCACATTTGATCAAGAAATCTGTTTTCATCTTTGAAATATGTTTATAGTTTGAGAAGAAGTAAACTCAGTCTTTGAAATGGCAGTTTATATTGTTCCCTCAGGTTGGGAATATTCTCAGAGGAATTCAGCACAAACAGAATCAAACTTTTTGTGTTCAAGAAATTTAAAAATATTCTACTCAGGAAAATTCTTCTTGCTGTCATAACGTTTGATAGAAGTTTACTTGCTCTGATGTTTTTTATCCCCCGCCGCGCGAAAGCGCGAAGCGGGGGATATAGTATTCACGACCGTCCGTCCGTACGTCCGTACGTCCGTCCGTACGTCCCACCTGTTTGTTGCCGCGATATCTCAAGAACTAAACACTGGATTGTCTTCATATTTGGAACTATGGTGTATATACAGACTCCGCAGACACCAGTCGGTTTTGGTGACCTTGATCCCATTTTCAAGGTCACAGCAGACAAATCTGCTTTTAGAGTTGGAAAATGGTGTTGCCGCGATATCTCAAGAACTAAACACTGGATTGTCTTCATATTTTGAACTATAGTGTATATACAGACTCCGCAGACACCAGTCGGTTTTGGTGACCTTGATCCCATTTTCAAGGTCACAGCAGACAAATCTGCTTTTAGAGTTGGAAAACGGTGTTGCCGCGATATCTCAAGAACTAAACACTGGATTGTCTTCATATTTGGAACTATGGTGTATATACAGACTCCGCAGACACCAGTCGGTTTTGGTGACCTTGATCCAATTTTAAAGGTCACAGCAGGCAAATCTGCTTTTGGAGTTAGAAAACGGTGTTGCCGCGATATCTCAAGAACTAAACACTGGATTGTCTTCATATTTGGAACTATGGTGTATATACAGACACCGCATACACCTGTCAGATTTGGTGACCTTGACCCCATTTTCAAGGTCACAGCAGGCAAATCTGTTTTTGGAGTTGGAAAACGGTGTTGCCACAATATCTCAAGAACTAATCGCTGGATTGTCTTCATATTTGGTACTATGGTGTACAGGCGGGGGATATTTCGTCACTCTGTGACAAATACTTGTTATTCCCTGCCACAAAGTGGTGCGGGGGATATACGACTGGAAGTCATCCATCAGTCCGTCCGTCTATCCGCTTCTCACTGGGTACACATCTTCTCATAAATTATTTAAGTTGAGAAATGAAATTTTACACACTCATGTTACTGGTCACGATCACAAATGAGTTTGAAAATTGGTGTCTTAAATTCAATTTTATTCCCCTAGTTTGAAAAATAGGGGGGATATACTGATCAGCCTGTTTGTCCGTCTGTCTGCAGTCCGTTTCTGTTTCCTTCACAGAATATTTCTTGATGAAACTTGCAATACAGATCAGTCTAGTGCTAAACTGGTGCTTTTTGATGATTTGGGGATTTAACTTTGTTTATGTTATGGTTTTTTTTATTTTTGCTCTCATGACTACAAGTTCGACTATAAATGAGGGTTGTGCCTGTTTCCGGAGCAGAACTCCAAAACTGTTGAATATTTCTAAATGAAATTTGCTATACAGATCAGTCTAGTGGTGAACTGGTGCCTTTTGATGATTTGGGAAATACTGAACAGCATTATTGTTTCCTTCACTGAACTGAGTAGCCATCCTCCATTTCCGAGTTGCACCAGACCAGGGAAATATGTCATCTCCTGATCAGTGTTCGAAATGAGCACCTGCCATCAATCTTTTGTATGAGAAAAGGGGCCTTTCGTGCGTATAAATTTAAAATTTAGTCAGATTCTCGCATGATGTAAAGCCAACCTTGTGCCTACTTCTTAAGGCTTTATAGGACTCCTTTTTTAATAGTTAACATTATCTTCCATATTTGTCTCCACTATATGAACAAACAAACTTCTAATGTGCCCTATGGTGGGGCAGGAGGTGGTGTAGTCATCTATGGTGATGCAATTCGCTGTGCAGAGTTGCCGCACTTGTGCATGCCAGAAACCTAGGATTGTGGGTTCGAATCTTGGTTCACACTGATTATGTTTCTAGTTTTGTCAGCACCATACCAATATTCATGGGTTTCACAGAATTGGTAAATGTCTGAGACCTGCATCACTTTGAAGGTCCACTGATTACTGACCAAGTTTCTGTTCAGACAGTACAGCTAGGTCCACTGATTACTGACCAAGTTTCTGTTCAGACAGTACAGCTAGGTCCACCGATTACTGACCAAGTTTCTGTTCAGACAGTAAAGCTAGGTCCACTGATTACTGACCTAGTTTCTGTTCAGACAGTACAGCTGGGTTCATCGATTACTGACCAAGTTTGTGTTCAGACAGTACAGCTAGGTCCACTGATTACTGACCAAGTTTGTGTTCAGACAGTACAGCTAGGTCCACTGATTACTGACCAAGTTTCTGTTCAGTCAGTACAGCTAGGTCCACTGATTACTGACCAAGTTTGTGTTCAGACTGTACAGCTAGGTCCACTGATTACTGACCAAGTTTGTGTTCAGACAGTAAAGTATGATGGAAGCCCTGCTGAGTCATTGTGTCCTTAGCTGCAGCTCTAGTGTCCAGACTTTAAGAAGTTCACTTGAAGATAACGATCAAAATGTCCAAATGAATCATAGTGTCAGTTGAGGTGTTGGCAAGATCCAGCTGAAAAATGTCTCTCTCAAGCTGTTATCTGCTGTGTCAGACATACATAAAGAACTGTGGAGCCACGCTGGGAACAAAGGGATGGCCAATCAGACACTCTCAACACAGCTTCCTCTCTCCCCTCCCCCTGTGTAAACTCCCTGTAACTCTGTATTAAAGTATATACATCTAGACTGGCTATCCCAGTCCCCACTCTCTCTGTAAACTCCCTGTAACTCTGTATTAAAGTATATACATCTAGACTGGCTATCCCAGTCCCCACTCTCTCTGTAAACTCCCTGTAACTCTGTATTAAAGTATATACATCTAGACTGGCTATCCCAGTCCCCACTCTCTGTGTAAACTCCCTGTAACTCTGTATTAAAGTATATACATCTAGACTGGCTATCCCAGTCCCCACTCTCTCTGTAAACTCCCTGTAACTCTGTATTAAAGTATATACATCTAGACTGGCTATCCCAGTCCCCACTCTCTCTGTAAACTCCCTGTAACTCTGTATTAAAGTATATACATCTAGACTGGCTATCCCAGTCCCCACTCTCTGTGTAAACTCCCTGTAACTCTGTATTAAAGTATATACATCTAGACTGGCTATCCCAGTCCCCACTCTCTGTGTAAACTCCCTGTAACTCTGTATTAAAGTATATACATCTAGACTGGCTATCCCAGTCCCCACTCTCTGTGTAAACTCCCTGTAACTCTGTATTAAAGTATATACATCTAGACTGGCTATCCCAGTCCCCACTCTCTCTGTAAACTCCCTGTAACTCTGTATTAAAGTATATACATCTAGACTGGCTATCCCAGTCCCCACTCTCTCTGTAAACTCCCTGTAACTCTGTATTAAAGTATATACATCTAGACTGGCTATCCCAGTCCCCACTCTCTCTGTAAACTCCGCGGAACTCTGTACTGGACTACAGACAGGTAACCTTGCATACATAACACTAGAGAGAAGCTAGTCACTCCCTCCTCCCTAACCTCTCTGTTACAGCTTTGTCTAACAATCATGGCCTTTGTTCAAGAATTCTTTCCTGAAAGAGGAGACCATTTTCCTAACGACTATCACCTTGTGGTTACAGAGTTGGGTTAAAGGTGTACCCTAAATTACATTTGTTAAAGGCCAAAAGTGATGCCAACTGATGCCCCACATATGTAACATAGCACAAGTTGTCAGGAAAACACAAGAGGTCAACTGAGGGGATTCAGGGTCAGATGCAATATGTGAGTTGGAGTGTCCTGTGTAGGGAAATATCACAAAAGTTGAAATAAAAAAACATGCCCTGAGATGAGTTGGTGTGTTTACTTGGGAATTATCAGCGATGGTAATGTGATGTACACACAATAACACTGCCATCAATTCTACTTTCAGGCCTCCAGGACCAAGGATTCCAAGTTATACTGAACCTATACATCATACAAAGGTAAGTGTCTACATACCTACTACCTACTTGGACCATTAGCACATGCAAGTTCAGTCAAATATTACCATCGGCTGATATCAATTACTCTTAACTTATTCTCCACAACTGTCCTATGTTTGGCAGTAAACACTGGCTATTTGACAGGCTGATGTCTTCACAACTGCTGGTGTGTGGGTATGTGCCCATTCAACAACAGGTCCAGAGGTCCTTTTGGAACATCCCTGTCTGTCCACTAGTTTATAAAACTTGTCACTTTCATTGTTTCTCACCACAGCTTACAGTTATGTGATTGCACGTTTCCTAGGTACAGTACAGCATTAGATTAATGCCCCCATTTCAATACGACCACGAATATCCTGAATCATCCCGAATAGGAAATTTTTCATATTCGTAGATAAATCTGAATCATTTCTTGAAGTTCTTAAATGAATCTTATTTGATTCCCAAACATTCCCAAACAATAAAAAGACATCTCTTATTCCACCACTTGGAATAAGAATACAATCTGATGTTTCTGCTGCCCAAATCAATCTTGAAAACATAGCCCCCACTCGGCTGTTCTCTTCTCCACCATGGCAGTTTGTGAAGCCAGAGGTGGACCTAACATTAAGTAAACTCAAGAAATCCGACACAAATCAACTAATTTATCAACAGCAATATAATGAAGTACGAAGCAAGTATGATACTCATAAATCTATATTTACAGATGGATCCAAGGATGGTGACGCTGTTGTCACCGCCACCGTCATTGGATCCAGAACTATCTCAACCAAATTACCAGATAAATGTTCTATTTTCACAGCAGAAGCAAATGCTATTTGAACAGCTCTAAAATACATCCATAGCCAAACTAAACATAAACAGTTCATTAATTTTTCAGACTCTCTTTCTTGCATTCAACCTATTAAAAACATGTCTTCCACACATCCACTTTTAATAGAAATTGTTGAATTGTTTAATGATCTTGCTACTGGCCAATACGACATCATTTTCTGTTGGTTACCAAGCCATGTTGGAATCAGTGGTAACACAATGGCCGATGCTGCTGCTTAAGCAGCACTCAACAAATATGTGACACCACTTCTGATCCCATTCAGCGATATCATACCTGTTATTAGATGTTACATCAGAGATCTAATGCAACAGAAGTGGGACACCCAAGGAGGTATCAATAAGTTACATGAAATTAAACCAAATATCGGTTACACCTTCTTGGGTTATCAGTCCAGATTTGAAGAGGTCATTTTACGACCATGTCGTATTGGCCACAGTAGATATACTAACGAATATTTATTGAAAGGTGAGGATCCTCCATTTTGTATCCATTGTGATGAGAGAATCACAGTCACGCATGTCCTGCTTGCCATCACAAGGGATAACTATTTCAAATCATCATCTCTTAAGGATCTTTTTAATAGTATCAGTTCTCATTTAATTATTGGCATTTTAAAAGAAATTGGAACTCATAAATAAATTTTGATGTACATAGTTGTTTCTTAACTTGGTAGTGTATAAATGTGAACTGAGATTGTTATTGGCTGTGCCCTTGACGGGGGTTAAGGTACTGTAAAATTATTGTCCCCCTGAGAGGGTATAGTAAATCCATAGCATTCAAAGTGCGTTATTCCTATCATAGTTTTAATCGTACAATCTGTTTTCTTTTAAATTTTGGCTAAATTTCCTAATTGTCGCCAGCAACTGAAGGGATGATGTGAAACCGGCTGGGGTCTATGCAGGGAGCAAAGGAACTATAAGTCCCCATGGACCCTAGCATGGTGATCTACCTTCAGATGCTGGCGATCTATAGCCCTTTTTTATATTGTATTGTAACATATAGTGATTTCTTTTATGGTTATATGCTAGTTTTAACTATTACTCTGTGATATTCTAGTAATTTTACTGTCCGTCGATGACAGGTTTTTATTTAGTTTAAAGATATGTATTCATAATGTATAACTTCTCATCACGATATGGCTGAAATATTGCCGATGTGACATATAGCATAAACTCACTCACACTCACTCACTCACCCAAACATTCGTACAGTTCACGGGAATTCGTTGAATTGGCAAGAAAGTTTTTCGTAGAAGTGTCCCGAACTGCAATTTCATGGCTGTATCATAATGCATTGTAATTAATTTTTATGTTCCGTAACAGCTTCGTAATTGATTCTTTTGCATTCTTGGCTATTCTTAGCGATTTGTGGCTCCTAAATTTCTTGTCCTCAACCCGAAAACATCCCGAAACAGCCACGAATATCCCAAGTCAACTACAAATCATGTAAGAATTAAGTTAAGGACCAGGACCAGAGCAACATGTGCTCTCCGTTGAACCCCCACAGTGGAAATGATGGGTTGGCCGGCCTTTCAGGACCCAAGAACATGCCGAAGTGTAAGGAAAAGTACCATATTAGTCGTATCTTATTCGTTGTGGTCATCCTACATTCGTACATGCATTCTGCATATTTGTAACTTAGTCGTAGGTGATTCTTACAATTCGTGCATGATCCGTACATGAATCTTGTAATTCGTCCATGTTTCTTAACCCATTCCTGGCATTCTTCATATTTTTCAACTTGATAAGATACGAATTTTCATAACTCCGTCGTACGTTTGTCGTAACTGCTTCGTACCTCCTACTAATTCTCCACAAAAGTTTGCATTATTGCCTGAATCATCACAAATTTCGAAAGTTTCGAATTCGGAGCGATTCGAGATATTCGGGGTCGTAATGAAAGGGAGGCATAAGTAATGTCTTTTAGAGGCAATGAAACTCTACTATAGAACACACAGCTGTCAAAGTTGATTGGTCATATAAAGCGTGTCACATTCATGTGATGCTTTGCAAGTCAAGGACGATCAACGATCGCTGAAAGAATCTTTTGACATGTAGATGAATGAAATCTACTAAGAATTCTGACATTTCTGACCCGTGAATGTGTCCTTCAAATGAATGCCTTGGTTTATCCAGGTCAGTGTGGATCTGCTGTCATCAACACTGATGGCATGTATGAGTGACATATTGGGGGGAAACTATGAAAATAATTGTTTTTCCTTTTTATATTAATTTTACCATGAGTGTAATGATGGCAGTGCATACACAGTCACTGTTGCATCAAACAAGATTACAATATCCCAACAAGCAGGACTAATAACCTACTTTTTAATGTCTGAGTGATCAATAGCCAAACACCCCACACCTTACATGTCTACATTTATGCCATGACAAGGTTAAATAGACTAGCATTAATAGCTTACAAAATGGAACATTGTGGCATCATGTTGTCATGGAAATTGGTTTGGTTTGGTTTGTTGTTTAACGCTGCACTCAGCAATATTCCAGCTATATGACGGCGGTCTGTAAATAATCGAGTCTGGACCAGACAATCCAGTGATTAATATCATGAGCATCGATCCACGCAATTGGGATCGATGACATGCATCAACCAAGTCAGCGAGCCTGACCACCCGATCCCGTTAGTCGCCTTTTACGATGTCATGGAAATAGTTTTGCTTCTCAGGTTTGAATTCTGATATCCAGCAAAATCCAGTGTCATTGATATAAACTGATGTCCAAAAGAAACTTTACCAGAGTTTGAAATCACTCTTGCTCAAAAACAACAAAACATACATGCATGAAGTAAAGTGTATTGAGAAGATCAATATATCAACATAATCAACGCTGAAAATGACAATCATACCGCGACTGAGAATGACGTCAGAGCCACCCAAAGTTGGGTGTGGTACAAAACTCGAGCTTTCAGAATCATGGACAATAGGCAGAGTACATAAACAATCGCTCACGTTCAATAACAAGTCATTAGTAGCATGTGTGACCACCAAATGCCTCAATACACGCAAAAACTCTTCGACGCACAGAAAAAGTCAGTCGTCTGATGAGGTCACATGGGATTTGACGCCATTCTTCTTGGAGGGCCAAGATCAGTTCTTGCTGGTTGGCTGGAGAGTGTGGTCGTTGTCGAACAAGACGATCCATCAAGTCCCAGAGGTGTTCTATGGGGGACATGTCGGGTGAGCATGCAGGCCAAGGCAGGATGTTGACGTTGTTGGCTGCGAGGAAGTTAGTGACAATTCTGGCTGTATGGGCTCTAGCGTTGTCATGCTGATAAATGACACCACGTGGCTGCTGTTGGAGAAATGGTAGGACAATTGGACGAAGAATGTTATACATGTAACGCTGAGCTGTCAAGTTTCCGTCAACGATGACCAGCGGTGTCCTCTCCTGCCCACAGATCCCTCCCCACACCATGACACTCCCTCCACCATATGGTATGGCCTCCTGCACACAACACAGCGCCGTTCGTTCACCCCTTCGGCGCCAAACACGTTGTCTTCCATCAGCCCTAAACATACAGAATCAACTTTCGTCAGTGAAGACAACCCTCTGCCAGTCACGTCATTGCCAACGTCGTACAGTCCGGGCCCATCTCAATCGCAGACGACGATGTTGCGCTGTCAATAGCTGTCCTCTGTATGGTCTGAAAGCCCTGATTCCATGAGCCCTGGGTCTCCTCGCCACTGTCTGTCGACTAACCCTGTAACCTAAGGCATTTGTCGCCGATGACATCACTGTCACTGTTAGCGATTTCGGAGGTGCAAGGTACGCCAGTACCAGTCATCATGGGGCGTGGACACCCTGGGTCTGCCTGTTCTTGGCCTGTCAGCGGTCCGCCCTGTCTGTAACGTTGCATCAAGTTGGTAATGGCAACACGGGAGCAACCGAAGGTTCGTGCAATATGGGCGTGGGTGGCTCCCATCTGTACCATACCCAAGGCTCGTTCACATTGTTCGCCTGTGAGTCGTGGCATTTCTTTTGTGTTTTTTTATCACTGTGGATGTCTGACTTGCCGTTGCAATCGTTTTATACCCTTACCCTTACGTGCATTTGCAGTTGTCCGTGGTGCACGTGTTTTTCACTTTTTCGCGTGTTATCTCGCAAACATGTAACAGACAATTAACATTTTCTGCATACACTATTGT